TCGGTGATAGGAAACATTCAGGATGGTCCAAGTTATGTTCATGCGTAGAGACGAGTTTCTCGCAAATTTTCTAAGTTTCGATCAAAATTTCGAACTTTGTATGTTGATTTGTCTGGACGTTTCAGAAAATTCTGAACAGAATGGCACAAGATGGTAAAACACTTTTTTTTTTTGAATGCATACCCAAGCTCAGGACTTAGCCGTTTTCCCATCGTCTCCCCCCCCCTCTCCCCACCCTTCCTCCACCTCGTCTACGTCACGCAACGAGCGACTCGAAGTGCGAGGAGAGAAAGCCTATAATAGGTGTACTTGTTAGTTTTCCTGAATTAGAAGTGAACAAATTTAAGTTGCGGTATGGACGCGGATCAAAGTAGACACCTACCAGATATGATCTGTGATGATGACACTAACTTTAAAGATATGTACGTCATCGTGTTTTTCCCCGACGAAATGCCTGTGGATAACATAGAATTGTTTTGGGTTGTTCCTTTCACTCGTTTGAAACAAGCTGAGAATTTAGCCAGGGATTGGGCTAAAAACATTATAAAACCAGTCTGTGGGGCAGCAGTCACTGTGTTTCATGTGGAAGACAGCATTCCTGTCGACACTTCTGCTGATCCGTTGGGGTTAAAAAACTGTCTTAGGTGTCGAGAAAAACCCTCCAACAAGGTCAGAGAGGGTATTGCTGTGTGGGGTCCAGGAGGTAAGGCAACACAAAGTAGTTAAGACATAATTATGTAATTGGTCATTTAACTAAAATTTTCCCTCCATCTGTTCAGAAAGTCTGGATATAACACTGAGGACATTTGTGCACTTCCTCCATTTGGGTCGATGGACAAGCCACAGAAAACAACTCCACAACAGCTTCGTAGATGGAAGACATTTGCCTTTCACATCCTCAGCAGCCGTGGTTAAAAGCGGTGAGTATAATAAAATGCGCCAGCCATCAGTAGTAATAATCAAACACCAACATTGTGAACAAGTAACATCACCATTTGCAGAGACTCAATTCCACTTAGTAGTTCTATTTGTGCTTGTCCAAAAAAATGTGACATTTGTCATGTCGGACTGAAACACACAATGTGGTTGTCGATGTCCCCACTGATTTTGAGCCAAATCAAAACCACTATTTACATTTAATAATAGTCTAACTTTATGTACCTGTTTATGTTGTAGTTCAGAGCATCGACCAGCCTAGGACTCGACCTCCGTCACAATCAGGGAGACAAAGGCATCACACTGCAACATTCTCCAATGGTGCAAAGTTCAAAGGTAAGGCTTAGCCATCGTGATGGCACTCTTGTTTTGTAAAATGTCCATATCTTTCTTTGACTCTGACTTGTCCTAGAAACACGTTTTGTTGCAACTCTTATTCATATGCTCTTTATGTTTTAGGGAAACGGTGTGCACAGAGAAAGCCAGTGTTGCAAATTACGAGTACTGGCTGGATCCAAGCTCTGGGATCGAAACGGCTAAAACATTGATAGTCAGTAAATTTTATTTCATGTATAGAGGAAGTAGTTCCTTTTTGATTAAGCTTCTTTGAATGAAGTAATAATGCATTCTTTTTATTGGTTGTTGGACTGTTAAAATATCCCTTAGGGTGCTCCAACAATAAATGTCTTGTACTTAGCTGGCTTTCTGGACAGAAATCTCGGAGACAAAGTGGAATTATTGTTGAGGTTTAAGTTATTAATTTAGGGGAAGTGTTTTACTATTTAATAAAGCCCAACTGGCAAACAATAATACAAATTTGATTGGCTGTGGTTGCCAATTTATGGTTTTAGCTTAACTAACTAAGTAAAACATTTTTATTATTTCAAGACAAATATATTATTGGTCATCCGTTGGGCTCTATTACATAGTGTTACACTTCCCCTTTCTAAATAACTCAAACCCCAACAATAATTCTAGCTTGTCTCTGAGATTTCTGTCTAGAATTCCAACTAAGAACAAGTGGGGGCACCTGCTTTATGCACGATAGTAGCATTCTTGTTTCTTTTATTTCATAACTAGTTGACCAGGTGTTACTTACATTTTATCATGGCACAAGTTGAATTTGAAGTCAACACGTTAGTACTAAAAGCTAAATTAGAAATATTACGTTTTAAATTTTTATGTATTTTTTTACAAGAAATTACTTTTAACATGTAGAAGTGTATTGTATAATTTTGTATATTTTGTGAAGTTAGCTTTTAAAACGTCTGCTTCTCTATGCTGTGCAAGAACTAAGCCCAGAAGAATGATGCAGAATATGTAACATAAATTCTACTTTTGGCTGTTGTTGGAAGAGTGTTTGGAGACCACATCATCTGTGAGTGAACATGCATTAAGGAACTAATTTCCTTTTGGTTAATATTCTGTAAATGAATTGTAATGAGTTCTACATTTTACATGCATTGGGTGCTGAATAAATATTCAAAATAAAGAACTACTTGCTATGAATTTAAAATGTTGTATTTCTAAGTTATTTACCTGAATTTTAATACTTTGGCTAAATTAACTGATTCTAATGGTGTGATAACATTCTAATCTACTAAATGCTTTAAATTTCGATTCAATTCTACTAATTTTAGGTGTCACTTCATGATTAGATAGACCAAAACCTTTGGAGATGTTATTCTCAAACTTTTCCGATGTTGGATAGCGTCCAAACCCTTTAATTATTTTCACTTGAGTTTCAACTCTTGGGTTTAATTTTACTGTCTCAAAAGCAGGGGATGAACTTGGAAAATGTATGGAAATAGTATTTGATGTGCATTCCAGCCT